TCATTTTACATTCAACAAATCGTGCACTGCTTCTTTACTGTGATTGCAATCCCCTCCATGTGTCAATGGTTAACAGTATTTCCCTCTATTCACTTTAACTCTGGCACTCCTCCCTGTATCTCCTGCTACCGTCGTTTTTCCTCTGCTAACCTCCCTCTTGTTGTTTGTTGCCTGCCCTGTCACCTGTGTTAACATATGCCTGCCCTCTTGCCCATGAATAATATTTCCTACCCCGTAACCACGGTTGTTTCTTTTATCAAGAAAGCCTTTTCCTTTTACAGCATTGGTTTCATATATTTGTCTTTCAGTGATTGACTAATTTCAATGAGGAGTCCTGGTGTGACGCTGTAGGATAAGCACTGAACCATGAAGTCTGAACCGCAAGGTTGGAGGTTCAAACTCAGCATAATGTCCTTTATATTCATTCATGTTGTGAGGTGTTTTGCAGATTTATTGTTATTCATCATCACTGCATAGTATTTCTTATGTGCGTGTACCAAAGTTTCTTTAACCATTCTTCTGTTGATGGGCATTTTGGCTGTCTCTTCTTTTTGATATGCCTATGAAACACCTCACAACATAGATCAACCTGAAGGACATTATGCTGAGGGAAATTAGGCAATCACAAAAGGATGAATAATGTATGAGCCCAATTTTGTAAAAAGTTACAAAAAGGTTTTCTTAATAAAGAAATTATCAATGATGTTTACAGCGGGAGCGGAAATGATTAATGAGCAAGAGGATGTTGTTGTTAAGTGCCGTTGAGTCGGTTCCGACCCAAAGTGACCCTGTACAGGTTTTCCAAGGCTATAAATCTTTACGGAAGCAGAGAGCCTTATCTTTCTTTCGCGGAACCGCTGGTAGTTTCGAACTACTTACCTTGAGGTTAGCAGCCTGACTCGTAACCACTGCACTACCAGAGCTCCTGAGCAAAAAGATAGACACATGTTAATATGGGTGACAAGGCAGGCAATCTACAACAAGAGGGAGGGTAGCAGAAGAAAGATGAAGGTAGTAGGAGACACAGGGAGAAATGCAAATCATTAAAGTGAATAAAGGTAAATACTGTTAACTGTTGGTACATGGGAGGAATTGCAGTCATTGTAATGAAGCAAAGTATATGGTTGGCTGAATGTAAAACTGATAATCTGCTCTGTAAACCTTCACTCAATTCACAATAAAAATTAAATCTATATATAATTTGGAACCATTTCTGATGGTTACATAACCAAGCTTGGGTAACAGATTTTGATTTAGTACAAGTATACCAAAGTACTTTTTGTTTCATTTTTTAAACTGAGTAAATTAATGGTTCCAAAAAAGAAGTTCTGGGCAGTTGGTAAGCAATAGCATCATCCTAAAGTGGCTTTTTTGTAGGGGACAATTTCCTTTTAAAATCTCCTAAAAGTATATATTGGTTGAAAACCCTATCTCAGACTTTATATTTCTCTTGTCCAAGGACATCTTCATACATAGTGAGTGTCTGGTTTAAAAGCGATGATGAGAAAGAATTTTTGTCCTACAGTTTTGCCAGGGCAGCATTTGTCAGCAGACAGTCTCTTCAGCCCCACCAGCCACCCTGGGGAAGCCTGCAGCACCTCTCCCGAAGCAAGTCTATAGAGGAGGCAGTCTGATGGCTATTGACCAAAGGAATGATAGAATTTTCATTCTCTGGCTTCTTATTTCATATTCTCATGTAGTCTGAACAGCAGAAGAAGCAACAGGAGGCTGAGAAACTGCATCGACAAGAGAGGAAGAAGCTTCGCCGTTCAGCTGGTCACCTCAAGTCGAAGCACAAGCGAGGACGGCCATTTCATTGAGTTTGGAAATGTCTCCACAAAACATCTGTGTTTAAATTTCTATGATCCTGAAGTGTGATTTGGAAGGAGCACATCGCCACCAAATTATCATTAGGGTCCGTGTATATTAAACCTTTTTAAAGTTTCATGTAAATTCTTGATAACATTCCCTGAGGTAAAGACTTTTTTTTTAGCTTGTTTCTTTGCCTCATGATTGGACTTTGAAGACTGGGCTCACACCAGGTGGTTACTGCACAGACCCAAAGGTGCATTTTGTAAGTTGTTCATTTATAAACATTGTCTCTCTTCCCTAGATTTTAACCAAGTAAACTAGGTTGTTACTGATTTTTTATATTGTAAAATGTGCACAATGAAAAGTTTATCTTGTACTAACAACTAAATTAACCATGTGCTTTTTTTTTTGCTACAATGCCATTTATGATTAAACCGCACAGAAATGTTGTACCTGTTTGACTTGATTGTATACCTGTGTAGTCACATATTTTTTTAAACTTCAGAGTATTTTACTATATGATTGATACATAATTTATTTAACTGCCCCTATTGATGCTTCTGGAATCCTGGTGTGGCGCTGTGAGCTAATGCATCAGACTGTCAAGTCGTTGAACTGCAAGATCTGTGGTTCAAACTCACCAGCTGCTCCTTGAAAACCCTATACAGGGCTGCTATGGGTCGAAATCGACTCGATGGCACTTCACAATAATAACATTGATATTATAGAGTCCTGGTATAGCACTGTAAGATAAGCACTGGACTACTAACTGCAAATTTGGCAGTTCCAACCCACCAGCTGCTCTTTGGAAACCTTCTACAAAGTTGCTGTGAGCTGTGAATTCCTCAACAGCATTTAACAATGACTTTAACAATGGATTGTGACATTGGATTAAAATCTAAAGAAAGAACCTTTCAAATATGAGGGGGCTTCAAAAAGTTCCTGGAAATTTTCAATTAATTCTTCAATCCCATTTTTCCACCAACTTTTTGAAATTCCAAATATAACCTAAGTTATTTTAAAAATAAGTATAGTAACTTTAGAAACACCTATATGTAATAAAGGAGCTCTGGTAGCGTAGTGGTTACGACTCAGTCTGCGAACTGCAAGGTCAACAGTTCGAAACTACCAGCTGTTCCTCGGAAGAAAGATGAGGCTTTCTGCTCCCATAAAGATTTACAGCCTCGGAAACCCTGTACAGGGTCGCTATGAGTTGGAACTGACTCCACAGCACACAACAACAATATGTAATTAAGCGATCTAAATGTTATTTTTGTTCACATCTGAAGAGGACTGTAATTTCAAAAAATTAAGGTATACTTTTCCACATTGTTGTTGTCGTGAAGTGCTGTCAAGTTGGTTCCAATCCATAGCGCCCCTTATAGGGTTTCCAAGGAGCAATTGGTGAGCTTGAAGTGCCAACCTTGCAGTTCAGACTGACTATCTCTATTTTAGAGAACATTGCTTTTGACTTTTTTAGTGAAAGGGGCAAATATGAGAGGAACTTCAATTCTACTAGTTAGGCTATAGTGCTAGTTTGTCTTTTATTTATATGATTCCTCAAATGTCATAAGAACAGAAACAAATATTTTATAAATAACTGGACTAATTTTAACAGCATTCTTTGAGGTACCATTTTATAGAACATTGTATTGTGTCTGCAGCTGAAATTATTCAACTTCCTAAGATAATTGTGTGAATTTTCCGTCTCTTGTGGATGACCCCTATCATTTATTCTCTGTTGTCTTGAGAAGAATGTGCTATATGAGGACATGGGCATAAACGGGTCATTTAGGAAGTGCTGTGCACCACAGGACAAACTCTCAGCCTCAAGGTTGGCAGTTTACACTCAGCAGCTGTACCTCAGAAACTCTGTACAGACTCGGTCTGAGTCAGAACAGACTCAGTGGCACTTAACAACCATGTAATAATCCTAAAGAGGTGATCTGACAGTCTACATCCGTAAAGATTAGAGCCTTGGGAACCCTGTGGGGCAGTTCTAGCCAGCCCTATAGGGTTTCTGTAGGAATTGACTTGACAAGCTATGGTTATAGTGCAAGGGCTTTGTAAATGTGTGTGGGAAATGGAATGAGATAATGGGATTTTTCTGCAAACTTTTTGAAACTCCTTCATAATAATCTTTGGTGAACAGGTGGTAGCTTAGACAGTAGTGGTGAGAAGTGATAGATGCTGAGGAAAAGAGGAGTCCAGTAGGACTCCCAAGTATTTGGCCTGAACAGTGACAAGGATAGAGTTGTCATTGGCTGATTTGGAGAAGACTGAAGCAGGAGTAGGCTTGAGGTGAGTCAATAGTGAGGGGTTCAGTTTTGGCCAGAGCAAACGTTCTTAAAATTTATGAGGGTGAGTCAGAAATTATCCTCACTCTGGTTATATTACAATGCCTATCCATGTCCAGAGCTGATGACATTACACATGCACATGAAATGAGTCTGTCGCATAGACGAGTGTCAGTGGATTAATGTGGCAAATCATTTGCAAATCAGCTATGGATCAACCTATGAAATCATCCATGATAGACTTGGGTTTCAAAATGTTTGTGCAAGATGGGTACTAAAACAACTCAGGGACATAAAGAGAAGCATTTGGACTTTTGCAAACAAAATTTAGACTGATACATGAAAGAAGGTCAAAATTTCTTTTTTTTTTTAAAAATTGTTACTGGTGATGAAACTTGGATTCCTCACTATGAGCCTGAGAGTAAACGGCAGAGTATGGAATGGAAACATCTTCAATTGCCAACCAGAGAAACGCTCAGAAGTCAACCATCAGCTGGAAAATTGATGCTTACAGTTTTCTGGGATTCTCAAGGACCAGTATTGGAACACTATCAGGGAAAAGGTTCAACAATCAACAGTACTTAAATTGAGATGCTCACTGAAGAGCTGAAGCCTAAATTTGGGATTAAACACAGAGGACCGCTATCCAAGGGCATTGTGATCTTGCATGACCATAATGTACATTCACATACCTCTGCCCACACTGTTGACACTCTGCAAAAACTTAGTTTTCAGGTGTTAAAGCATCCTCCCTATAGTCCTGATCCTGCTCCATCGGACTTTGACCTGTTTAAACCTTTCAAGGTCAAGCATTCACCTCTGATGAAGTGAAAACAGCAGTACATTCTTGGCTCGCAGCTCAGCCTAAAACATTTCTAAAGGGAATAACGCTTGTTGACAGAAGGACAAAGTGTGTTGAAAGGCAAGGAAATTATGTAGAAACATGATTATTTGTCTTTTCTAAAAGTTGTATAGTCAGACTCATGCTCGTATTTCAGATCATGTTCAAAATCTGAAAGTGGTTTACTTGCTCACTCAGAATAAAAGCCAAAGTTCTCCTGACAGCCTACAAGCACGATGTGATCTAGCCCCTTCTAAGTTCTCCCGTTACCTTAATCACACTGACCTTGTTTGTTTCTTGGACATTCCAGGCATGCTTTTAAGCCAAGGGACCTTTCAGTCATTCTTTTCTACCTCAGATGCCCTTTGGACATCTGCATGTCTCACTCACCCCTTCAGAGTCATTGTTGAAATACCAATTTAGGGAGGTCTTCTAGGACCACTCAATTTAAAATTGTCATGCCTACCCCCAGCATTCTCTTTTCACCTTTACTGCAAATGATACCTGATATTGTGTCCTTTGTTAAAATTTAATGTGGAAATTTTCAAACACATGCCAAAGTGAAGAGCAGTTAAATTAACTTCCCATGTACCAATCACTTGTTTTCAGTAATTGTTGAGGTGGTTAGGTGCCATCGAATTGGCAACAACTCATAGCAACCCTATGTACAATAGAACAAAACACTGCCCGGCTCCCCACCAACTTCAAAATTGTTACTAAGCCTGAGCCCATTTCTGCTGCTGTTGGGAGGCTTCCTCTTTTTCTCTGATCCTCCACTTTACGAAACATGATATCCTTCTCCAGGGATTGGTCCCTCTTGACAATATGTCTGAAGTATGAGAGACGAAGTCTGGTCATCCTGGCTTCCAAGGAGTACTTCTTTCAACATAGATTGGTTTGTTCTTTTGGCAGTCCATAGTATTTTTAATATTCTCCAACCCCATAACAAATGTATCAGTCCTTTGATATTTCTTATTCACTGTCCAACTTTAGCATGCATATGAGATTATTGAAAATACCAGTTTGGGTCAGGCCTACCTTCATCCTTAAACTGACGTCTTTGCTTTTGAACACTTGGACCTCTTAAATTTCTTAAAGAGGTTTTGTGCAGCAGATTTGCCTAATGCAATACATTGTTTGATTTTTTTTTTTTTAATGTTCATGTTTTATTGACTATGCAAAGGCATTTGACTGTGTATATTATAACAAATTATGGATAACTGTGCAAAGAATGAAATTCCACAGAAGTGGACACTGAATAGTTTGAAATCAGGAAAGGTGGGCATCACAGTTACATCCTTTCTTTTTCTTTTTTCTTAAATGTTTTATTGTGAATTATGTGATAGTTTACATGGGAGAACATTAGTTTTACATTCATTCTATCATCTATCGTCTCATTGCCGTGGTTACAATCCCCTCCATGCAATCCTTCCCTCATACCCACCAGCTTCAGCACCCGGTCGCTCTACCTCTCTGGATCTAAAGTCTCCAGCTGCTCCATCACTCCACGTCATCATCTCTGGCTCCGTTTTAGGCATCACTGCTTCTCTGGGTAGGGTTCCGCTCTCTGCTCTTCTCCCTTGATGGTCCTAGGGACATCCACTCCTAGACTGAAAAGTTAATCACTCCCCTTCTTGGTATAACGTTGTTTGATTTTTTTGACTGCTGTTTCCATGAGTGTTGATGGTTGACCCAAGCAAAATTAAGTCTTTGACAACTTCAATTTTTTCTCAATTTATACAGATGTTTACTGGTCCAATGGTAAGGATTTTTGTTTTCTTTACATTGAGGTGCAACCCATACTGAAGGCTATTGTCTTCGATCTTCATCAGTAAATATTTTAAGTCCTCTTCATTTTCAGCAAGCAAGGTTGTATCA